GGGGGCTGGAGAGGGGCGGGGCCTGGAGAGGGGGCGGGGCCTGGAAAAGGGGAGGGGCCTGGAGAGGGGGCGGGGCCTAGGGAGGGGAGAGTGGCCCACAGGAGAGGGCGTGGCCATACAGGGAGGGGGTGTGGCCCGCGGGGAGGGGCGTGGCCAGTCAGGGGATGTGGTCGGTCAGGGGGCGTGGCCATGCAGGGAGGGGCGTGGCCTGAAAGAGAGGGGGCGTGACCCACAGGATGAGGTGTGGCCCACAGGAGGGGGCGGGGCCATACAGAAAGGGGGCGTGGCCATTCAGGGGCGTGGCCCACAGGAGGGGGAGTGGCCCACAGGAGGGGGAGTGGCCCACAGTGGGGGGCGTGGCCATACAGGAAGGGGCGTGGCTTACAGGAGGGGCGGGGCCATGGCGAGAGGGGGCGTGGCCCACAGTGGGGGCGTGGCCATACAGGAAGGGGCGTGTCTTACAGGAGGGGCAGGCCATGCAGGGAGGGAGCGTGGCCCACAGTGGGGGGCGTGGCCATACGGGAAGGGGCGTGGCCTATATGAGGGGGCGTGGCCCACCGGGAAGAGGCGTGGCCATGAGGTAGGGGGCGTGGCTTGCAAGAGGGGGCGTGGCCGTGCAGGGAAGGGGCGTGGCCATGCAGGGAGGGGCATGGCCATGAAGTAGGGGGTGTGGGTTGCAGGAGGGGGCATGGTCCGCAGAGAGGGGGCGTGGCCATACAGGAGGGGGCGTGGTTTGCAGGAGGGGGCGCGGCTTGCAGGAGGGGGCGTGGCCATTCAGGGGGGCGTGGTTACCTCCAGCACCAGGCGGATGTGGGCGCGGATCTTGGCCCCGTCGCGCGTCAGGGATTCGCTGAGCCTGCGGGGGGCGGGGCTTAGGTGGGAGGGGCTTGGGAAGGGTGGGGTCGCCCGAGTGGGTGTGGCCTGATGATTGACATGGCAAAACCACGCCCTTTCTATCATCAGGATGGGGACGTGCCTTCCTGTTGTGGGGTGGGCGTGGCCTGGGTGGCGTGGGCGTGTCCTGCGGGAGGCCACGCCTTTTTTGGCCACGGGGCGGGGAGGTGATTACCTTTTATAGTGTGGGCGTGGCCTAAGGGGGCGTGGTTTGCCCATCTGGGGCCACCTGTGAGCACAGGTGAGCGTAAGAGGGCGTGGCCTGGGTGGGCGTGGCCTAAGGGGGCGTGGGCATCTCCTCCCACCCCAAAATCCATGGGAATGGGGGGCGTGGCCTAAGTGGGCATGGTCAAAATGGGCGTGGGCCCCTTCCAACCCAAATACAACGGGATTGGGGCGTGGCGCTGGGTGGGCGTGGCCTCAATGGGTGTGGTCTCGATGGGCGTGGCCTAAAAAGGGGCGTGACCAAGGCGGAGTGACCAAGGCCCAACACCCAGCACCACGGGGCGTGGCCGGGGGCGTGGCCAAGGTCAGTGGGTGTGCCAGGGGGCGTGACCAGGGTCTGGGGGCGTGACCAGTGTCTGGGGGCGTGGCCAGGGTCTGGGGGCGTGGCCAG